TGGAATGAAAAAAATAGACCTTTTCTGTGTGGAACGTGACTATACAAAGGTACTTAGTTGTGCTGTGCTTTCCCATCTCACATCAGCATTGTAAACAATAGAGTTAGAGCACTTTCTACTGCACAATGTAATGCAAGTAATTACTTTAAATGCATTTTTTTTTACATAAAGCCCAACATATATGCCAATACCTGTCTGTGCATAGTATTACAATCAGCAGGTGATCCAAATGAATTACTCACATGTTTATCATTGGGTCTCTCAAATAAAGCCTAGATTGGAAAATCGAGTCAAAAAAAGTCCACTACAATCAGATTTAAGCAAAACAAGTTACAATCCTGTTTCTTCTTTGAAAATGCTTCCTCCAAGAGATAGAACGCCAGAACGGCCCTGCTGCTTCCTCTCCTTTAGGGGGCTGTGAACTTAAGATGGCTATCATACATCCTGTAGGCAGCTGTGAGGACAGATACTGGCAAGCCCCTAATCTAACCCAATACAGTCTCAAACGGAAACATTATTTTTTTATATATTTTGGCACTTCTACTGTCGGGAGAATATGTGTTACACACTAAAGAAGACTAGCTTGCGCTTTTGGAGAGGTGTGCGCACATCGATATATATTAACATATTTAACACCAATGCTGCACAGAGCCACTGATATTCATAGCAAATACACCCAGCTGAGCCACTCCACCCGGAGCTGGAGAGTTCACTTCAGACCATAAAGGCTTGATGAGTACATAAGTGTGATAACGGATGTTTCTTTCCTGGAAATGACGTACAGGAAATGTGTGACAATGGGCGACAGGAACCGCCATGTTGTGAGCAGACAACTTACAAACCAACACTAACTAATGGAGTTTAACACATGAGCGGAGGGTCAGAGCAGGCCGACTCACAACCCAGGATACTAGACAGTTTCACAGGGTGGGTGGGCCAAGTGACGAAACAGAAACCTACAAGAACATTGCCAGCAAAATTCCACCGTCTCTCCCCACAGAGAAAGAAAGAGAGAAAGATTTCGTGAGTATAATGAAAGGTTATTTATTTTAGCCCTATTTCAGTGGCTACCCACACAATTTTGGAAAATGTAGTTCTACTTGTTTCACTATATGTCTCCAACACTGACAGTTGTAGATAGTGACTGATGAGACCATGCATAGATTTTACTTTAGAGAAAAGATGGAGCTATTTACACATTGTATACATTACAATACTTATATAACTACACTTAATAATCAGAATGACATAATTTAACGTGGCCAGATGAACTGGTGAGATTGGTTAAATATGTGTCAGTTGTCTGCATTTTTCTATCTTCTTCACAAATTCTTGGAGAGGCTGTTTGGTGTTGAAGATGTGATGCATTTCATGTATGCCTGAGGCCAATCCCAGCAGACAACAATTCAAGCTCACATTCACATTGTGGACAAGTAACGCCTCAGTCATACTATATGACTTAGAGTCAAGTAATACTTAGCTGTAGGGGGAAACCTGAGCACCTATAGGAAATACACACTGTCTTGGAAAAAACATGCAAACTCAGTACAGACTCTACAGAAAGAGTACTGCACAACTTGCTGATGCTAATTTATCCGTTTGAGTTGTAATTTCTGAAGTTTGTAGTTACTCTACTAGTTAAAAAATGACTTGAAACTAAGATTTTATTCACTTTTACGCGTCTTGTCTCCATAACTGTAACTCATTTCCCATCTGCCTTTGATGCTTTCCAACTCTCACTGTGTTCAATATTGTCATCAACATCTCTAAGCGGTTAAACCCTGGATATCACAGCGCAGTACGCTTTATCACAAATGACACATTTTATATCCACCTTCTTGAATAAAGAAAATTCGCCTAGGGCGGGGCGCCCATTCAAGTCTTACAACTTCTGCGCTGCAGCATAGTTCTCAAGAGCCTAGTCATTCATTGTCCATAATTCAACATTTTAAATTTCAAATATTTTGATTCAATAGTTTCAATTGTCAATCCAATGCTTTTGCGATTCTTGTTTTTGTTTTTAGGCTCCCAGTAAAAACTCTCCTGATGAATGCATTGAAACTGGAGAATTTGGGAGATGGGTTTTAAAAGGACTTTAAAAGACAAACAAATGTAAACATAAGTGTTAAAGAAACCGTATAAATCTTTTCCATCATCCCCTGCGAAAGCTGTGGCCTTTCTGACACACATGCTCCCATCTCTCCAGACTCTGCGCTACAACTGGATTACAACTCTAACCCTAAACTAAACATTAATCCATCATGTTCAGAGTTCATTCTAAGCTTTATTGCATAAATATGTACTGTTTTATGACACTGTCTCATCTCCTATCTGCCTTTGATGCTTTTCAACTCTCACTGTGTTCGATATTGTGATCAACATCTCTAAGCAGTTAAACCCTGGATATCACAGCGCAGTACGCTTTATCACAAATGACACATTTTATATTCACCTTCTGATTTCTACATTCAAGAAGAAATAGCTATCTCATGTTATTCATTTACAAATGCCTACTGTTAAAGCGAAACTACTTCTCATCTCTACTTTCATTTAAATCTAAGAACTACAGTACACAATCCAGTAATTACCTAACCTTAGATGTCCTTCTCAGAGCCGTTCCTGACCTCCGCGGGGCCCTAAGCAAAATTCTACAGCAAGTCTTAAAAGCTAGTCATTCATGGGCGCCCGGTTAGTTCAGTGGGTGGAGCTGGTGACCCATGTACCA